GAGAGAGAGAGAGAAAAAGAAAGTGACGCGGAGGCTGGTGGCGCGAGAGGAGCAGACGGAGAGGCGCGCGATGGATCCAGCAGGGAAGGGTTTCTAATTTGGTGCCGCGGCAAAAATCGACACTCCGTCTAGACTACCGCCACTCTCCGGTTAGTAGGCGCGTATATATGCCACCTCGCGAGAGAGAGAGAGAGAGAGAGAGAGAGAGAGAGAAAGCTGGCCGAAGAAGGAGCGAGGTAAGGGAGATACGCGGAGGAGAAAGGGTCAGACGGAGGGAAAGAAAGAGAGCTGGAGGCACGGCCCGATGGAGAGGGATAAACCGAGATTTCTATTTATGTATTCCACCTCGTTCATGACTCCGGCCCCGTCTTTCGCGCTCTCCTTTCATCTCGTTACGTTTTTGCGGCCGGTTAGCCCGCCGATCCTCCTCCCTGGCCTCCGTCACACAGCCCTTACCCCCTTTACGCGAAACCCCTTTGACGCGTTCCAAAGAGGAAATCGATCCGCCAGAAATTTTCTAACGACCCAGCCCAGGCGGATCCCCAGACGAGCGCCGTGCCACGTCTGCCACGTCTGCTACGTCTGGAGACCAAACGCCGTCTGCGGAAATTCCTTTCGAAAAGTTTCCGCGAGGTGATGGCCTTTCGCGAGGAGTCTGCGTCGTCTCTCGCTGGCCCCGGCCGCGCCTTTCTGCTTTTAATTACTCGCCGGTTGGCGATCAGGAATTTTTCCGGGACAGTGCCAAGGCGGGCCAATGGGAGGGGATAAAAATACTTGCACTCGAAATTGATATTACCCGGGATATGAAACTGTCTTTAACTGGCTCGTCTGGCGCGGACAATGCCCGTATTGCCGTAAACTAAAAATTCGTGCTCGAGATTGCTCGAAGAAGAGCTGAGAGATACGCGTTAAGAACACGGATCTTGAAAATTTCTTAATGTTTTGAACACATGAATTCGGAAGCGATCTCTATTCATCAACTGTCAACAATCGTTTAATACTAGATCTACCAAAATGGTCAAAATGGACCAATTTGCAATTTCCTATGGAAACTTTATATATTTGTGAGAGTGTATTTTTAAATCATTCGAGTGATGTTTAATGAAATATATTGACAGAAGATCCCTTATCGTATTGTATTATTTGTATTAATTTTATAAATATTCTACTTTAGTTGTCGGTAATTTTAATGTTAATGGCATAATTCAAATCGGAAAATGAGTCTCAAATATGAAGCAATGATAGAAGGCTGAGTAATAATATCCAATTTAAAAAAGATCGCTTCTTCGCATTAGTTTAACACTAGAATTACCAAAGTGATCGAAATGACAAATTTATATATATATAATTTTCTATAGAAATTTTATATATTTATACTAATATATTTTTAACAAAATATATTAATGAAAGCTCAGGTTCTTTATTATATTATTAACTTTTTCTTGCACCTTATACTTTAATTTCTTTGCTAAAAAATTCAATTTAACTTTAGTAATTCCAGTGTTAATAATTAAATCGCATAATTTAAATCGAAAAATAAATCTCAAATAGATAAAATAATAATATCCGATATTAATTTTTAAAAGATCGCTTCTTCGCAAGAGTTTAACACTGGAACTACCAAAGTGATAAAAATGACTAATTTATAATTTTTGTATAATGTATACATATACTTTTTATATCTGTAATAGTGAATTTTTAGACATTTGAGTGATTTTTAACAAAATATATTAATAGAAGCTCGTGTACTTTATCGTACCATTAACTTTCTCTCGTACCTTGCGTGTCAATTTTTTTTTTTTGCCACAAATATTAAATTTTAATCGTCGATAGTTAGTGTTAGCACCAAAGTCGCGACAAAACAATTCGGCAATGCGAGATCCTCCGCGGCAGTAGGAGCGGAAACGAGTTTTGCTTGACAAATTCAACCATCGTCAAAGGACGATCTTATATTCATTCTCTGGCATTGGGATCGCGTACGAGCTTGTGTTCCCGAAGGAGCACAAAGTGGACACGAGGAGGCATCGCGTATAAAAGACAGCGTAAAGGCAGCAGTGGAAGAGTAAAGGGAAGAAGTCGAGGTTAATCCAAGGGGCCGCGCAAATTGTGTTCGCCGCTGCTGCTCTTCGCTTTCATTATCTTTAACTCTCTCCCGGCCTGTTTTACCATCCGCCTGAGAGGGCAATTACCCCCGTACAACCCTCCTTCATCGGTCCGTTTCCGGCGATCTCTCAATTCTTTCGTCGCGTTTCGATCCGCCTCCGCCGAATTAAAACTCCCCCGGGTTACCGCGAGATCCCGGCCGAATCTCCGAGGGAAAGCAGGGCTTTCAAGCGACTCGATATTCGATATTTAGAAGCAATGAATCACCAATCGCGCAATAATAGTTGCCCGTTTTATCTCGACAGCGAGTCCATTTTCGAAGAAACTAAAAAAATGAAATTTGCAATCGCAAGAATTAGAATTTAAATCATAGAATATTCATTTTTTTCTTTCTCTTTTTTCTTCGAAAGACCTCGAACATCTCAAAATAAAAGAAAATTTATAAATATTTCGAAATGAACATTTGAAGTATATAGTAGAGCTTTTCGCAATTAAAACTGCGTGATGTCCAAAGATCTGATCGATCGAATGATTTCGTCGTCGACGATTTATTTAATTAACCGCGAGTCAAAGGTATAAGCCGAGTGTATCGAAAATGAGATTGTCGAGCGACAGTGAAAGAAACCGGGTGGAAATTTAGCGCCAACGGATTACAAGCCTGGACCGAGCTTTCGCTTCGGGAACGTCAGACGGCCACCAGGGCGAAATTAATAACAGCGTCGACAGGCTAGAGAAAACATCGATCTCGCGGCAATTAAGGGATTATACCGCGGGGTATTCATGGCGCAACGGGCACGGAAATTGCGTTCGATCGGATCGCGATCTGCGCGGCGCGCGCGTTTCGTTAATCATCGCTCCGGCTGAAATGTTGGGGAATTAGTCGAAAGTGGCGCTATCCGTTTTATCCTATCGCGTCGTTTCAAAATCGCGGCGTCGGCCAAGCTTGAAAACCAATTCGCGGTGACAGCGTCCTGTATGCCACATTATTGTGGATTATGGCCGCGGCGCGTGTCGTTCCCGTCAATTATTTGCCGAAAAAAAAAAAAAAAAAATGGATATTTTGTCGCCTCGTTCCCACGTCGTACCATCGCCAGGATAAAAAAAAATCTACGCGAAACTGAAAATAAAAAGAAATTTACGGGAAGAAAACGAAATAAAACGAAGCGAGAAAACTGACGGTAATCGAAGTTTCTGTTTTTCAAAACAGATCGACGGAAGGCTGAAAGAACCTGCCACGTGTTCTCCAACTTTTCCATTGTTGTATATTCTAAATTTTAACAAGTCAATGTTGACCGAGCAACTCTTATTCTTCCAAAGGTACATTAAAGTCAAATATTAACTCTTCAAGGCTGCTAACTCTTTCGCTTGCTCCTTTCATCAACCGAGTTCTACATCGCCGCGTTAGAAATTAAAATCTCTCGCTGTTTCATCGGGATGAATGATACAGTTGATTCAGATCTTGCCGCGTAGTTATCCGAACGGTAAACTTTTGTGGAGTAACAATGGACCTTTCGCTCATTAGACGTCAGTAGATGTCAGTTATAAATTCTCTTTCGTCTCGTACATCGAACGTGTGCAAAGAGTACAGCGAAAGATTTAATGCTTTCTGTTGAGGGTATTCATGATCCCTTAGGGTTCAAAGGACCACTTACTATTGCAGGAAACGAATAACTCGGTGGATTTGCACTGTGTTTATTGCGCAATAAGCCTGATAAGCCTTTTAGTAAATTCAGAAAGCTTGACAAGTCTGAATGACTAAGGTACTGACGTGTTCGACAGATACACTTACAGCTTTTTAATATATTTAAAATATATTTAAAATATATTTAAAAATATATATAAATATATTTTATATAAATATATATAACAAATATATATACAATAAATAAAATATATATAAATATATTTAAAATATAATATATTAACATATGTAAAATATATGATATTTTAAATATCATGTAAAATATATATTATATTTAAATTATATATTTAAAATATAATTATTATTATATAATTATATATATTTATGAATAATATAGTTTTTTAATATCATTAGTATAATAATTATTATTATATAAAATATAATTATTATAATATATTTAAAATATAATTTAAATATAATATATGTAAAATATATTTAACATATAACGTAAACATATTTGTAATAAAATATATTTACAACATTTAACACTTGACGACATATTTACGAACAGAGAACAGAGAATTCTAGTATGCACTCTGCTTTAGTTTAATTATATGTACGCCCAGCGAGAAAGATTTGAAAATAATGAATTCTTTTCATCCGACGGATTTTTCGGGAACAGATCCGCGGCCCGCATCGATCGTCATCGATGTATTTGCGTTTACGGGGAGGGGGGGAATTCCGGTAATACGGCAGCGTTCGAAAAGTTATTAAATTTGCCGGGCGTCTCGAGGGCAAGTTCGAAAGCTTCTCGCTAGTAGAAGTTTCGGCTTCTTCATACGGAAAAACGAGTTTTCCCTCGCCGGGGATAGAGAGAAGTCCGGAGATTTCGAGAAGAACCTCGAGCTCTAAACCCAACGGAAGCTCTCGCTGGCAGGCAGGGGGTTGTCCGGGATCCACAGGCGCAGGCAAAACTTCCTGTTTGCCCCGTAACTTTCCCAGGAATCTTCTGCCTCGACCGGGGAACTCGACTACTCGGGGAAGGTGCGCACGTCGCCTCCGAGACTCACCGCATCCTACCAGGAGAAAGATAATAAACGAACTAACCCGGCTATCTGGCCGCGTTTCCCCCCCGCGTTTGAATATCGCGAGAGCAAACCAGCGCGATGATAAACTTGGCGTTTGCACAGCTAGAGAAGCTGTCTTGGAGGAGCTGTCTAATGAAACGTTACACATTGTTGTTGTCTGTTCGCAGGCGGAGATCGAAAGTGGTGATATCGTCCGCGAAACCGGAGGACAGCGGCAGATACGAGTGCGTTGCGGAGAGTACTTCCGGTCATCGGGCCTCACTCGCGGCCCAGCTTCTAGTCGCTCACGATACGAGAATTCCGGAAACCAGTGAGTATCGCTTCAATGTTTTCTCACGGCACGTAACTGTTTCTCGCTCGAAAGTGCTCGAAAGCAAAAATTTCTTCTGTTTCCTTTTTTTTTTCTTTTTCTTTTTGTATCGAATCTTTCATTTTCAATCGGATTCAAATTTCACCGACCGAGTCGTGTCTCGTTGATCAAACCACAGGAAACTTCAATTTTCTCAGACAAAAGTTCTTCTGTAACGAGTTTTCGAATACTTTCGCGAGACTGTATACGTGTCGTTACAAGGATGATTGGGACTAGATGTTCTGCGATGAGTTTATTATTGCAACACTGGACTGTGTCCAACGGAACTTGAAAATGGAAAATTACGTTACGAATGAACTTCGCGAATATCTCGTGGAATCACATTTATTAACAATTAGGCGTGGAAACTGTACAAGTTGAAAGTTACAAGCCACATCTTACCGAGAATTGTACCGAATCCGACGAGAATTAAACCGTTTCTTTTTTAAAATTGAACTGTTTCTCACCCCGCGAGCCTTTATTAGAACAACGCTTTATTAGAACAACGTACGATCTAGCCAATCACATTTAAAAGTCATTTAAAAGCCAATTCAACTGCTCTGCTGTAGGTCATGTAGAAACTAAAGGCAAATTAAAGCATCGATAAAGACGAACGTAACAGACTTGCGAAACAGATTTGACTTCCCTAACCGGAAACATTCAATAGAATGTCCAACGAAGATACGAGTAAACCGAGGTTCAGAGTATCGAACAGTTTTGCGCTAACAATATGAACACACACGCATATGCGCGTTCTCAGGTAAGTTTCCAGACTTTCGTGACAGTCGTGTCATAACATTCGCCAATGTTAATGAAATTTCGAAACGTTTCACACGCGAAAGCGTAAAACTTTCCTAATAAACGTCACGCTGCTTCACAGAACACGTCTCCGCGACAATTTTGTCTTTACGGAGGCGAACGGAGTGTGTCTGTTTATTCCGCGAATACGAATCGATCTCTCTCTCTCTCTTTCTTTCTGTCGCGCGGTCTCATTAATAAAAATACAGAAGAAACACGGTATTCTGACGCCTTTAAAAACGCGGACAGCTTCGTTATTCGAGCGTCGATCGTCGATACAAAAACGGGACGGGAGCGGTGGAACGTTTGCGAACAAAGGGAACGGGAGACGCGTTTTGTTGGGCCGCGCCGGTTGGATTTCCGGCCGACGATCGATCGAGCGATCGACCGATCGATCGATCGATCGCCCGCACGCCAACACCTGCCGTGCATCAACGCCCGTAGTTTCAGTTTTCGCTCGTTGTCGTCATAACTCCGATGGTGCGTAACACCCGGCCTTGCGCCGGGAATCTCCATTGAATCGGCGAAAAAATAGAGGCGCCCCGTTTTGCACGCGCAACGGGACTTCACGATACACTGCCTTGCACAACCCGCGACATTTTCGATGACCCGCCTCCGATTGTCGCCGTGAAAATCATTCTTTTCTATCCGCGTTTCGTTTTTCTTCCGTATTTATTCCTGACTCGCGCGACAATTCCGAAAAAGGACCGCGCAACAAAATCCTTTCATCTCTTTTGGCTCTCGTCGTTGTCGAGTTACAGACTTGACAACTAAAGTTTGAGACATTCGACTCAAACTTGGACTACGTGTCACTGAAAATAAATTTATGTCCGAGAATGCTTTATTGAAAAGATACAAGCTTTTAAAAATATTCATAATTTATCGTGACAGTTATAAGAAATGTTCGAAAACTCCTCCTTCTGCAAGAATGCTGGCTTCCATTCGTCGAATTAGCGAACTCTTTCGAATATTCCATTGGAAATAATAGTAAATGCATTTTGAATACATTGCCAAAGTATCTGGTGACCTAGGAGTCCAACTGATCCAACGTTGAAGGAATTGTCCAAAATGTGGCGGGGCACCATCATGTTGAAATCATTTGATAGCGTGTTTCCAATAAGACATCGTGCAGACATATCGTGAAGATTATTGTGGGATGGACAAATTCTGAGAAAGGGCCCAAAACTTTCTCCAGTGCCCAACAATTGACAACCAGATGTCCCAAGTGGCGTACTGTAGAGAAAGTTAGGCTTGGGACTTGAGAATGTTTATGGCTAGCCTTTCACAGGCCTAGCATTTAAGATGTTAAGGTTTGTGTGTATGTGTGTATGTGAAAGCGAGAAGACAGAGAGAGCGAAAATTGAGCGTAAACGTAGCAATTAAGAGAAAATAGTGTAAAACGTCACTTTATAATCATCATTAAACGAGTTTTCTTATTTTAAATAAACAACCATCTTTTGTCAAAATTCCTACATCATTCTGCAATAATCTTACTGAGAATTTGCAACACGTATACGATTCTGTACAAAGAATTGCAAGAAGAATTTTGTCCATAAATTTTTGAACGCTTATGTCTTTTCAATAAAGCATTTTCGGACATGAGTTTATATGAAATTTTTTCATCTGTTTGACCTCAGTAACACGTAGTCCAAGTTTGGTCTCAACTTTTTCGGACACCTGTATATATATTTTCGATATATCAGATTGAATGAAACGACACATCGGTTTCAATTTCTTGGAATTAAATGAATCTGAGTGGAGAGTCCACATCCGGGTGGAAGTTTGTGGAAGGTTTCTATTCTCGATCGAAAAGGTATCGAAACGCGGGATTTTCCGCCATGAATTGATCGAAAAGTACAGCACGTTGGTTCTTGACAAGATACTCTGCAAATAGAAATTCGTAGGCGTGCAATCGAAAAGTAGAGTAATTTCCCACATGTCCGATCGTCTCTAAACAGAACATAGAAAAATCCCTTTCACAGCAATCCCTTGAAACTTCCTTTCTTAGATCCTCCCCCCGAGCCATTTTATCCAACATCGCCAGTCATCGAACGCTAGAATTACACTGCGGAATGTTGAAACAAATCTTCCAACGTTTTCGAATTCTTGCAATTTCCTTCTCCTGCAAGTTTCTCTTTTGCAACAATTTTTTCGCTAGTGGCATAGTTACGCTCCTCACTGTACGTAAAGTGTCTACTACGAGAGAGAGAGAGGGAGCACGTTAAAACTCGGTCAGGACGTCTGGAGCGGAACGATAATCGATCCTGCACGGAAGATGAGGAGCATCAGGTTCACCGCGTGGCCTTTACGGCTAACGTATCGCGTAAAGATACCGCGGCCACGACGTGCATAAACGTCCGAAACGGTTCGCGAACAGTTATCGATCGGCGAAGGGGAAGCTAGACCTCGAGGCAGAAGGCCACCGTCAGCGGTACACGGCGAAACGTTAGTTTATGACTTTTCATAATACCTCGCAACATTTGGTAGACGTTTTTTCGCCGGTGGCTATTTATGCTCCGACTCGAGGAGAAGTGCAGCCTTGCGCAATCGGTACGGACCGGGACGAAAAAACGGGCCAAAGCACTCGCGTTTGCGATACTTGTAACTCAGCTCGCGGCTCGTGCTGTAATTTCCACCGCGATACCAGATCAATTCCCACGGAATTCGAGCGAGTAATTCCTCGCCGGAAAGGGTGCGAACCGTCTCTCGCTTGTAAAGGAACGTTTGTACCAAGCCACCATCTTATAGCTAATACTTATAGGTTTGTTACTTTCGTCAATGGGAAATGTTTCGACGAATGCGAACGATTACTTGCTCGAGAATCTTCTCTCTGTTCGATCTTGGGACAACTCGAAACGCGGTACTGTTACAAGAAGGCCGTAAAGTTACAAGAAGACGCGCGTTGCAAACGTTTGACCCTTGCCTGATCCTTCGTCCGCGTTCACTTCTGGGAACAATTGGCAATATCGCGACACCGATAGAAATCGAATTGAAAAGTCGACGACGACGACGACAGCCGATCGCTTGTACCAATGCATAATTCCATCGATCTCGCGGGCGGGCGCGGATGGTAATACGCATACCGGTGGCTGGCGCGAGTCGGCTGTTTCCGGCTAAACGACGCGGAACGCCCCGCGTTATTGTATCAAGTTACACCTCCGTGGTAGTAAAGCGTGCCATTGCGACTGCAACGGCAATTGTTAAAACATAGTGCGGTGCCGGGAGAGAGAGAGAGAGAGAGAGAGAGAGAGAGAAAGCCAGAAACACATTCGAGCTGTAGTAAAAGTTTGTGGTAAATGTTATTGCAGTCTAACTCGGCGGTGCTCGGCGGTTCGCTCTTTCGAGTAACTCTAGGCTTATAAACATTACCACAATCTGTTACCGCAATCGAGCAGCTAACCAGCAACCGAGCAGAAGTCACGGCGGCCGAGAACGCGCAGCGTGCCTGGCCGACTTCCGCCACAGGAATAAAAGAATCCCAGCCCTCAGGGCTGAGAAACTTGTCGCCAGTGGCGATCAGATCCGAGACACTTCGAATCACTTGGAATCTGGAATCGTGCGCACGATCGTACGTTAACAATTTCCGCTCACGAAACGAAGATTTACATTGCTGCTCGAAAAGTGTCGATTTGATTGGGAGGGGGAAAAAAAAAAACGTGTCTCGAGATTGGAAGAATTGCTTCAAACGTGAAATTTGCGAAATTTTATCGCACGTTGTGAAATACACATGTGCAATTTGGAATTTCATTCGTTTCTGTGGATCAATTACGACGATTGTTTGAAACGGAATGTCTCCTAGCACTTTTGAGCGTGTGTAGGTAACGAGAATGCTGCAGAGAGTTCTACCTCGTTCACTTCAAAGTGTGTCATTTCAATCTAAAATAAAATAGTTCTCTTTTTTTTTTCAAGTTACGTTCTCTGCGATCAGAATTGCCCTACGGGACTTTAAAGATTTATAAGGTCCGTAAAAACTCGAGTTTTCTCTTATCAGTGTTCGAAATGACTCGAATTTTTCGCTGTGCGAAATCAAAAATTCGAAACCCCAAACCGCATAGCGGGCGAAATAAACTTTCTTGCAATTTGCAATTCCAATTCTAAATAAAATTCGTCAAAGCTCGAGCCTTAGCGTTCGAATCTTTTGTCGTGGGCGTAGAAAAATTTAA